AGTTGGGATTAGCAGCATTGGTTTGATGAGTCAATGGTACAAATGAACAGAATAATGGAAATGCAAATTCCAAATACATCAGACACAAGTTCATGGGTAACGTGTAATATTTTCTGCTGAACTGTAAGCTTGGATTTCAGGTATTGTCTTGTTGATAACAGGGCTGTAATAGAAGTCTTTCTTGTACAGATTTACATTTCAGATTAATATGGACTTAATCTGAAATCTTCCATCTTCATCACATGAAAAATGAAGTAGAATAATCTTTGGAAGAAACAGTGTATGTCCATATATAAAACATTTTTATAGTTTTCCAGTTTGTTCGTCATTTGAAAATTAGTTTTTAGATTTTTTGGTTTTCCCTGGATGGGAAAGTCTTCAAAACTGAGGTCACATGGCATTTATATGTTGGGCAACTCTTGAGCTCACAATGTGTTGTAGCAGTTGCTCTCATGTGCTAAGAAGAAGAACCAAGTGACATGCTCTGAGGTGTCATTTAGTGCTACATTAAAAAGATGGCCAAATGATAAATCAAAGGCTTGCTAAGCCATTAGGGTATTGCTTTTATAAATTAAGCTCAAATACCATTTAAAACAGGAATGAATGTCTTCAGAACTAGGGTTTCTTAATAGTGTGCTGCAGACAAAAATATTAGCTTTGTTTATCTGCAGACATGAAAAATAGTGTATATATTAGCTACAGGGAAAGGCTTCCACATACAGCATGCTCCACAATGCTGGCTGTTGAATAGTTGGTATATTAATACATACTCATATCCTGGAGCTTGGACAGTGATTGTAAAGTCAGGTAGATTTAGTGCCTAAAATAGTTTATAGCCTCAGAGAAAAGTGTCAGTATAAAAATAATAATTTTGTCTTAGTTCTTTACACACAGTACTTTTTTTTCCTTGTGAAATCATACTTGAGGTAAAATAAAAACAATCACAATGTTTTGAGCTTATATCCATTCTATCTCAAATCTCCATGCTAATGGAGAACACAAGAACAGAGATGCACGGGTTTGGGAGGTGGGAAATATATTTTCCAATATTTCTTTACTATTCCATAGCTAAATATAACAAGATGTAATTGAGGCTATCACAATCAATGTTCACCATCGTATATCCTGCAGTGGCAATGTTTAGTTTAAAAGTCATCATAGCCATATGTATATTAACTCTGTTACTCATAACTTGTTAAAGTTTCGCGATGGTGCTTCATTTTGCCATGTGGACTGAAATATATATTTTTACTTGGGTAATGTATACTGAAATATAGAGTAATTTGGGCCTCTTTCCTTCAGTGGTGGAGACCAAAAACATGCAAAAAATTATATCCAATGTCAGTTAGTTTGTCACTAACAAAGCTAGCCTGA